TTCCAAAGGATTTATAAATTACAGGCCCCCTTTCCCTAATGGGTGACAACTCCTAAAGGAAATCCAAGGTCTTTTTTGTGACAACATTCAACTTATCCTTCTGCCCAGTGGTACTTCCTTCACTTTCTCAATAATTATTGAGGCTGAAGGCATCCCCCAACATACTTACATGCATATCTACAGCTCAGAGTCTGTTTTCTGGGGATCTCAACTTTAAAAAGTTGTGTCAAAAACAAAAGAAAATCACATGGTCAGAAGACACAACTACTCTACCCCTCAAAGCATCTATTGAAGAAATAACTGTATCAACAGAGGTAGAAGCTCCCATACTAATAACTTAGTAAACTATAGTGTTCTGTCATCCCTACCTAGATAGAATTATTTATCATTGATGACTTAAAAAATGCATTTTAAAATAAAACTCCCTCTTCAATAAGTGGTGCTGGGAAAATTGGATATGCATATGCAGAAGAATGAAACTAGACATGCTCCTCTCACCATATACTAAAATCAACTCAAAATGGATTGAAGACTTAAGTATAGAACTTGAAACTATAAAATTACTAAGAGAAAATATAGGTGAAACACTTCAGGAACTAGGTCTATGCAGACTTTATGAATATGAGCCTGAAATCACAAACAACAAAAGAAAAAACAAACAAATGGGACTATATCTGTTGTTTTGCCTCCCACGGATTTGTCAACCCTTTCCCCCTGGGTGACAGGGCCTCCAAAGATTACTCAAAGCCAATCTCTTCTGAGCAGTGAGAAGCCCTGAAGGAGTTAATCTGCCAGAACTTTCGAGAGAGAGGCATTCCTTCCATTTGGGAAATCAACCCCAAACTGGGGTTCTCTTCCCACATTTATTCTCCAGACCAGGAAGTTACAGGAAGAGAACATACATGGGGTTATAGTTTAACAATATAGGCTGGTAACATTCAGTAAAACAAGCAAGTTGACATTCCATAATGCAATTTTCAAGACGTTAATTAAGTCAATCCACCAACAAAAGCTTGATCTTAGCAAACATTCTCTCTCCCTACAGAAGCTTCACAGTATCTTTACATATCAATCAGTAACTTGTCTGTCCTTTAGCCAGCAACCTTGCTGTGTTACAATTCTTTATCTTACAACAGAGACTATACAGCCTAGGGAAAATTTCCTGTCTTTTGCAAGTTGAACATTTTATATGTACTTTTAAGAAGTTGGGCTAACCCTGAAACTACAAGAAACTAGGCCCTGTGCAATATATTTGCTTTATAAATATGGGTATACTCCACATATATCAAACTAAAAAGTTTCTGCACAGCAAAGGAAAAAATCAACAGAGTGAAATGACAGCCTATGCAGTGGGAGAAAATTTTTGCCAACTATGCATTTGACAAGAAATTAATATCCATAATGTACAAGGAACTCAAGAAATTACACAGTAAAAAAACCCAAATAACCCAATTAAAAAATTGGCAAAGAACTGAAGACATTTTTCAAAGGAAGACATACAAATGGTGAACAGGTACATGAAAAAATGCTCAACATCACTAGTCATCAGGGAAATGCAAATTAAAACCACATTGAGATATCATCTCACCCCAGTTAGACCGGCTATAATAAAAAAGACAGAGAATAACAAATGCTGGCAAGGATGCGGAGAGAAAGGAATGCTCCTACACTGTTGGTGGGACTGTAAATTAGTAACCACTATGGAAAACAGTATGGAGGTTTCTCAAACAACTACAGACAGATCTTCTTTACGATCCAGCAGTCCCACCTCTGACTATATAACTAAAGGAATGGAAATTATCACGTCAAAGGGATACATGCACTCTCTTGTTCATCACAGCTCTGTCCACAATAGCCAAGATATGGAACCAACCTAAAAGTCCATAGATGAGGGCTGGCCCATGGCTCACTTGGGAGAGTGTGGCACTGATAACACCAAGGCCATGGGTTCAGATCCCTATATAGGGATGGCTGGTTAGCTCACTTGGAGAGCGTGGTGCTGACACCACCAGGTCAAGGGTTAAGATCCCCTTACTGGTCATCTTTTAAAAATAAAATAAAATAAAATAAAAATAATAGTAATAATAAAAGTCCATAGATGGATGATTGGAAAAGGAAACTGTGATATATATATACCACAGAATACTACTCTGCCATAAAAAGAACGAAATTCTCCCATTTGCAACAACATGGATGAGGTTGGAGAAACTTATGTTGAATGAAATAAGCAAAGCACAGAGGCATAAATACCATACGTACTCACTCATAAGTGGGAACTAAGAGAGAAAGAAGGAAGAAAAGAAAGTCCACAGTGGTGCATTGGAGTTGCAGAGGGAGAGAACATGCCTAGGGATACAAAGTGGAGTGGGGAAAGGGGGATAGGGAGAGAGGTTGGGGATAATTGGGGGGATGATTGGGTGGAGGACACAGGGTATAATCACAATTTGTGGTAATGGGCATGTTGCCAGTATGGATCTGGCAATGACATCTTAGGCATGAGTGGTGACAATTTGCTTTGTACCTCATGAGTATTCACAACCAATAAAAATAAATAAATAAACTGAATATGCATATGTAAGAAAAAAAAGAAATTCAAGTTATATGAAGAAGTAGAAAAGTAAATTAAAAATAAAAGTAAATTGGGCCAGCCCCGTGGCGCACTCGGGAGAGTGCGGCGCTGGGAGCGCAGCAACGCTTCTGCCATGGGTTCAGATCCTATATAGGACTGGCCAGTGTGCTCACTGGCTGAGCGCGGTGTGGGCGACTCCACACCAAGGGTTGTGATCCCCTACTGGTCACGAAAACAACAACAACAACAACAACAAAAAATAAAAGTAAATAAATAAACCAAGTCTAATGTTTCAGATTTGACATCATGTCAATAATGGGAAAAAACAATCTACAGTGTCATACTTCCAAAATTCAACTTCTGAAGTATGTTCCACTAAAATAATAATAAGAATAATTAAAAGCTACTTGCTCAAGATCACATAGCTAGAAAGACAAACTAGCTCTCCTAAATCCTAGTGACGTACATAGCCTCTCTTAATTGCTCTTAATTCCTAATAATCTGGACTTAAATTCATTCATCTGTTCAATAAATATTTATTAAGTGCCTAAAAAAATAAAATAAATGAGAAAATGATAGATTATATCCATCAAAGTAAATATAAGAAGAAAAAAGAGATGAGAATCAAGCATTACATTGATAACAATACTTCAGAGACACATAACTATAGAGAGAATGAATCTAACACAACCTCTCAACCTGAACTCATTATCTTTAAGAAAACATTTTTGTATGTGCAAAAGCACCATTTATCAAAAATTCAAAAATCAGGGCAGAGATGGACAAATTGAAATGCATAAAATGAGAACTTACTAAATGTAGAAAAGAAATTAGAGAAAAAGACATGATTGTTAATGAAATTAAAACAAAATAAAGGGTCCTCAAGTAGTAAGAGATTATGCTATTTATATAAAGGCCATTAAAGAAAGAAAATATAACAACAAAGGGAATGAAAATTAGACCAAAGAAGAGGTAAGAGAGAACATAATTGCTATGGAAGATTAACAAGAGTGATACACCACACGTAAAATTGGGGTCACTGAAAAAGGAAAGAATGGAGGAAGTAATATTTAAAATTATAATCCAAGAAAAATTTGGTGAATAACAGTGGTCCTGAATCTAAATATTGAAACATACTTGTGATAGTTGATCCAGAAAAATAAAAACCAAGATATATTCTATTGCAAGTATTAGACTTTAAGATAAAGAAAAATTATCTACACCTTCATATAGAAGGACAACCTCACTTCCAAAGAAAGGAAATCAGATTGGCATCTCACTTCTCAAAAATGTCATACAAAGCAAGATAACTCTGGATCAATATTTTCAATACACTCAAGGAAAAAAAGCACGAACCAAGGATTTTGTATGTATTATTATTTATATGTACTTATTGTTGATACTTTCCAATTAATACATGTAGAAAGAATCAAGGAAACAGAAAATTCCTGTTACAAAACCAGAGTAATAATTGCTGTAGGCAAGATACACTGGTGGGAGAAACATTAAGGAGAAACAGGGTATTTGTATACTGTCAATGTACCTCTCCAAAATATTAATTACTGGAGTGATAAACTATTTACACAAATTCTTTCATACTCCCCTGCCCAGAAAATAGTATATAGTTCCCCTCACTTTGACTGTGGCCTGGACTTAGTGACTTGTTTCTAATGATTAGGGGATGGAAGAGAAAAATCATGAACTTTGCAGTGTTGAAACGTAGCAGACATCACTTCAACAAAAAGATCAAAGTTAATATCACCAGTAATAAGACATGTTGATATCATGTACCCCCTGATATGATAAAGTGAGAAGTGTGCTTTAATTCTGTGATATTCTTCCTTCAAAACCCTAGGACAAGTCTATCCATAAGCAAATACCAGACTAACCAAAACTGAAAGACATTATTAAAAAATATCTGGGCAGTACTATTCAATAGTTTCAAGGTCATGAAAGACAAGGAAGGACTGAAGAACTGTCACAGAGAGGAGGAAACTGAAGAGACTTGATGAGTAAATACAAAATGGAATCTTGGATTGGATCATGGAACAAAAAATATAACATTAATTTAAAAATTGCCAAAATCAAAAATAAAGCCTGTAGTACTTGAATTAGTTTGTTTCACATTACCTCTCTCATGAAATTGAAAATACCAACCATGAAAACACCAACCATGAAACCTCTCTGTGGATAAGCTTTCTTTGTATCTTGTTACATGCTTAAGTAAAGGTTCTTGTATATCAGAATTATAGACTCAATACCAAGAACATAAATTTGATAATTTGGATGAGCATGAGGAATGTTGGCTTAATTCAACCAGGAAAAGATAAATAAAAACATTTCAAAGGTAAATAAACAAACAAACAAAAGTGGCCATTTTCCACTACCTCAGTATTTCTTGATTTTTGAAAACAGATTTTTCAAATTAAGATCAATTATCCACAAGGAAAGGTACTTGTTTCAGAATGTTGCAACACTTCCTCTTCTCCATAATTCTTTTCATAGCATTCGTCACTTCCTTATTTCTTAGACTGTAAATAAAGGGGTTTAATAAAGGAATTACTAGAGCATAAAAAACAGCAACAGGTATATCTTTATATGCTTCGTTAACAGAATTTGGTCGAACATACATGAAGAGAAGAGAACCATAGAACATTGAGACAGAGATAAAGTGAGATGCACAAGTTGATAAGGCTTTGCCTCTTCCCTCTTTGGATTTCATTGTGAATATTGTGAAAAGGATGCAGAGATAAGAGATTAGGACTATGGTCAAGGTGAAAATTTGGATCAACCCTGCAAATATAAGCAACATCAGTTCATTGATGTAAGGGTCAACACAGGAGAGTCTGAATAATGGAAGAACATCGCAAAAAAAGTGATTGATTTGATTCGACCTGCAGAAAGTTAACCTAAACAGAAGCCCTACATAAATCATGGGATGGAGGATTCCAGCTATGTAGGCCCCTGTGGTCATGTGCACGCAGAGTTTCTTGGACATCATGGTGTGGTACTGCAGGGGGCTGCATATGGCCACAAAGCGATCATAAGCCATTGCCGCCAGAAGAAAGCAGTCTGCAGTTTCAGCAAGACAGGCAAAATAAAATTGTGCCATACATTCATAAAGAGAAATAATTTTATCTACAGAAAAGAAATTCTCTAACATCTTGGGGGTGATGGCACAGGAACAGCAGGAATCCATCAGAGCCAGGTTGCCCAGAAAGATGTACATGGGTGAGTGAAGACGGCATTCCATGTAAATCAACACCACCAAAGCGAGATTCCCCACCATGGTGATCAGATAGATGGCAAGAAACACCACAAACAGAAGGGTCTTCAGCTCTGGGTGATCTGTAAATCCCATGAGGATAAACTCAGTTGTCAAAGAGTAGTTTTCTTCAGTCATCTCTACTTTGTCTGTTGAGACAGAATTTATGGGGATAATAAGATTCTAATTGAGACTGTATAATTTTCCATTTACATTTTTCTTTGTACCACAGGTAGAGGATCTTATTCAATCTTCTGTTGCTGTCTCTGGAATTCAGGCACACATACTTCTAGGAAACCCAGGTCCTCCTAAATGTGCCTGCACTATGGCAAAATAAAATTGTGCCATACATTCATAAAGAGAAATAATTTTATCTACAGAAAAGAAATTCTCTAACATCTTGGGGGTGATGGCACAGGAACAGCAGGAATCCATCAGAGCCAGGTTGCCCAGAAAGATGTACATTGGTGAGTGAAGACGGCGTTCCATGTAAATCAACACCACCAAAGCGAGATTCCCCACCATGGTGATCAGATAGATGGCAAGAAACACCACAAACAGAAGGGTCTTCAGCTCTGGGTGATCTGTAAATCCCATGAGGATAAACTCAGTTGTCAAAGAGTAGTTTTCTTCAGTCATCTCTACTTTGTCTGTTGAGACAGAATTTATGGGGATAATAAGATTCTAATTGAGACTGTATAATTTTCCATTTACATTTTTCTTTGTACCACAGGTAGAGGATCTTATTCAATCTTCTGTTGCTGTCTCTGGAATTCAGGCACACATACTTCTAGGAAACCCAGGTCC